TTATTAGATCCAAATCTTTTTTGCTTGGATAGTTTAATCCCAGAAATGTGTGATTGGATCCATAGAGTGGCAAATTCATCGTGTGAGAAGTTGAGTCCACCTGTTTTGAAGCAGCAGTTTAGGGAGTGGCCCCAAGTTCAGATTAGTATAACCTTTGTATTTATAAAGGGATTCAGTGGAATCTACAAAATGTGATTATTGTTACTCCATTGCTTCTGTGCATTATTATTATTATTATTATTATTATTATTATTATTATTATTTAATGAGGTGAGCTTCAATGCAGAGCAGATCATCATTTTGGCTTTCCAACCAAGTGGGGAAAAAAAATCAGCAATTGTTAGAGTGATCAGGAGCGGAAACATTTACGAAACGAGGATAAAATGAATCATGATTAGCAATAAAGGAAAAGTTAAATGGGGCTAGAGGAAGACTGGTAATAAACTACAAAATATTTCTGGCTTCCATCATCCCTGCTTTACAAAGGTATACTGAGGCTTAGACTATCAAATGCTTTCAAGAAGCATTTGCATGAAAAAGGAAAGCACTGAATTGCCCGCAGGAATAGCATCTTCAGTGATAGTGAGAAGATCTCGTTTATTGTCATTTTATTATTTATTTATTAACTTTATGTCCTGCATTTTCTCTAAGAGCTGAAGGAAGCTTATGTGGAGATCTCTGCAATGTTATCTGCAATGTTTCGATATCTCTGCAATAACAACCATATGAGTAGTTTGAGAGAGAAGGATTGGTCTAAGGCAACCCTGTAAGCTCCATGGCTTAATACAAGTGTACAAGGTTGTGATTAAGATGCTGCATATGAACTTGGGTCGAAAGACCAACATGTTATGCATTACACAACATGAATTCCCAGAGACCTTCTATCATTTCTCTCTTTTCCTACGTAAGTTTGCCAGTATTTTCTGTGAGGGTGAATGGGCATAACATCAATCTGAAAATGATATGGAAGCTTTGCTTGAGGAATATATACGCTGTGATATTGGCTGCAGCAGATGTACCCTAGAACATGTGGCTCGGGGAGCATTTCTCTACAAATATGTGATAGACAGGTCAAGGGAATCTACAGTGAATCCAAATTAATATCCATAGTTTTTGTCTCTAATCTGCCTGAATGTATTACCATTGTTTTATCTTCAATCCTTAAAGGGACACACTGGAAAATTCAAAATACCTTCAAGACAGTCCAATGGTTAAGACATCAGGCTAGAAATCAGGAGATTATGAATTCTAGTCCCACCTGAGGTATGAAAGCTGATTGGATGATTTTGGATGAGTCACTCTCTCTCAGTCCAACTCACCTCATAGGATTGCTGCTGTGAGGATAATAGGAGGAGGAAGGTGTGTTGGATATGTTTACTCTGCAGGTTGAACAACTCAATTAAAAATATAGAAATGGGCATATTAGGAATTAAGTGACTTAGTTAATCATGAATGTGGAGGATTTTTCATTATAAATTATTCTGGGCATTGGCACATTTAAAGCCCAGACACTATTGCAGTTCAAGTCACAAATATGATAATGCATATCAAATTGAATAATGTGCTGTCATTTTCCTGTGTGCCATAAAAACAATACTAGAACTGTAGAAGAAATTTCCATTTTATGTTATAATTTGAAACAACCAGCTGCTCTTAGCAATCTCTGTCTTTTTGATACCAGCTATCTATCTTTCCTGATTGTCCTTATTTGATCTTGATGCAAACCCTGAATATGTTTGCTTTCATTTATTTGTCTTCTATACCAATCCATTTAAACCACTGCTTAATAATGGAAAGGTACCAATTTAAATATGCTTATATCTCAATGAGGTGTCAGTCATTGCATGGATGCAGCATTAGTAATACAAGGGCTAATCAACTAGCTGTGAACCATGACTTTACAAACTTCACCTCTGACACAATGTATTAGGCAGTCTTAGACAAAATACTGTTCTCATATTTAGCCTTCCATTTACAGTGTACAGACAACAATACCATGCTTAAGTACTGTTTCATTGCTTGCTAAATGTTCATTATGCATTTGAAATCTTAAAAATGGCTTTCGGTTAGCCCAGATAAAACATCACTAGAAACAATGAGATTTAGTAAATATCTAACTTTCCTCTTAAATGCAATTATAATTATTCACATCATCCAAACTTAAAAACATAAAAGTTTTGTTCAAATTGTGATTTGGGAAAAGCTATTAACTGACACTGTTGTCAGATTTTGACTTAGTCTGGGATAGTCTAAGAGTTGGTTTACATGGGAAAAGAATTTACTATTTCCTCTGCATATATCTTAGAGATAGCAGCATCTTCACTCATCATGGCCAGACAACTATCTATCCTAGAGAGATAACTCTGAATGGTTCCCCATACATACACCTATTTGTAGCTCAGGATTGAAATGTGGGGTCCTTGGTGCTCTCTGAGCTTAGTTATTTTCTTGCAGACGTTTCATTATCTAAATTAGGTAAAAAACTAGTAGAGTTCTAGGCTGTATTAACAGAGGAATAGAATCAAGATCATGTGAAGTATTAATACCACTTTATAATGCTTTGGTAAGACCACACTTGGAATATTGCATCCAGTTTTAGTTGCCATGATGTAAAAAAGATGTTAGAGACTCTAGAAAGAGTGCGGAGAAGAGCAACAAAGATGATTAGGGGACTGGAGGCTAAAACATATAAAGAACAGTTGCTGGAATTGGGTATGTCTAGTTTAATGAAAAGGAGCGACATGATAGCAGTGTTCCAATATCTCAGGGGCTGCCACAAAAAAGAGCTTCAAAGCACCAGAGGGCAGGAGAAGAAGCAATGGATGGAAACTAATCAAGGAGAGAAGCAACCTAAAACTAAGAAAAAATATCCTGACAGTTAGAACAATTAATCAGTGGAACAATTTGCCTCCAGAAGTTGAAAATACTCCAGCACTGGAAGTTTTAAAGAAGAGATTGGACAACCATTTGTCTGAAATGGTATACGGCTTGCTGCTTGAGCAGCCGGTTGGACTAGAAGACCTCCAAGGTCCCTTTCAACTCTGTTATTCTGTTCTGTTCTGTTCATCAGTGATCATCATCAGGGAATAGTACATATGGAAGCAACTGCTTTAGATAATAGGTTGGGAGGGAGGCCTACTTGACTTTAATCAAACTACAATTTCTCAAATTAGATGTCATGCCATTTGTACAATACAAGTACAAAAGTTTTAACTTCTTCTTTAGCTGCTGAAAAACATTGAGCAGGGCCGTGGCAAATGGCAATAGGAAACAGTGAGCTTCAAAGGATAAGGAGTTGTTTTAATAGGCATGGTTGGTTGGCTGGGTTGTTACATCTTGATTAGTTGATGGAGTTGATGTTTGCAGATTAGTTGGCTGTTTCGTAACATCTAACACGAAACAGCCGATTAATCTGCAAACATCAACTCCATCAACTAAACAAGATATAACAACACAGCCAACCAACCCGCTTACAACAACAAAGCCAGCACTTCCCCACCTCCCCACCAGTATTTATAGAGAGACGGCATCTCCGATCACGCTTTGCTCGCACAAGCATGAAGCCGAAGACACCAGCCTGAAGATGACGAGTGGGACCTTGTCGAAACGTCGCCAAGATGCTCTCAATCTTACACGGGAAAAGACCCGAATACGCCAAGACTTGCATACCTGTACCCGTGAAAATCTATGAAAACAATATATAATATATATATATATATATATATATATATATAATATATATATATATATATATATACATACATACACACACACACACACACACACACACACACACACATATGTCTTTGGTTATTCGGTTTTCTCCCGCGTAAAATTGGAGGTTTCTTGGCAACGTTTCGACGAAGTCTCATTCGTCATCTTCAGGCTGGTGTTCTCGGCTTCGTGCTTCTAGGAGCAAAGAAGCACGAAGCCGAGAACACACAGCCTGAAGATGACGAATAAAACTTTGTCGAAACGTTGCCAAGAAACCTCCAATTTTACGCGGGAGAAAACCCGAATAACCAAAGACCTACATACCAACCCCCGCAAAAACCTCAGGAAATATATACATACATATATATATATATATATATATATATATATATATATATATATATATATATATATATACACACAAATCACATCCTTTTGAGTAGTTGGATATTATGGTAATAAAATCTATTGCATAACTTCATTTTCTTCAGATGCTTTTTTTTTTTTAATTTGATTTATATGCCGCCCTTCTCCAGAGACTCAGGGTGGCTTACAATGCGTTAAGCAATAGCCTTCATACTTTTGACGGCTAAACATCAGGAATAACTAACAGATCTTCCACACAAACCCACTTATGCATCTTGTTTACTGTAAACACAACCTTAGTTTGTGATATGAAAATAGCACATGAAAAGTTCTCCAAAGGCAGATGTAAGTTTCAAAATGGTCACAGGAAGAAATATGGTTTCCTTCACTCCCAAGAAGAAATTAAATTAAGAAATTATAAAGTTGGTCCCACAGACTCTTTGTCCACCACCACTACCATTCTATACTCTCTCAACCTGCAGCAGAAAACCTGATTTCTAATCATGATTTCTTGTGACACTATACGAAGCTCCTACAGATCAAGCACAATTCTATTGAGGTTTTAATTGGCATTTTTCTCTAAAATTATTGTATCTCTACCAACATGGCATTAACTTTTTGTTTCTTTTGAAGAATGTTAACTTGCTGAAAGCCTTCTGGAATACAAACAAAGTGAAGTAGATATGATATATGGTATGATATCATTTTCAGATAAATAATGAAACAAACTAAGATGGAGATCTTAGTTTGTTCCATTTTTATCTGAAAATGATATCATACCATATATCATATCTACTTCACTTTAATCAGGGCTAATTTCCTATTCGTTTCATTAGTTAGGTTTGGCTGCCAATGAAGCAATTGGTCCAATATGCTTATAGACAGATTTAGATATTGTTATAGAAAAACACAAAACTTACCTAATGTGCACTTCATATTTCTGTCCATCATCCACCCTGATATCAGTACTGATCTTTTTAATTTCATCTCCGCTATCGCATTTGAATTGGTACTGAACAAAAAGAAAACAAAAGATTGATTTGTCACATTTGAATATGTCAGAAATTTCTGATCAGGGCTGAGCCAAATTGGGTACAAGCCAGAACATTAGGCTTTGTATGAACAAAAGTGTTCCGTGAGTCGTGAAACATGGATTTTTAGCCAGAATGAAATCTTTGACATAGAGGGCAGGTAAATCCCAACTCACAAGGAAGCCAGAATTATACTAGTTATCCTTACAGTCTAGCTTTACAGAAATAGTCAGAAAGTGAACACTGCCATAAAGTGTTTCAAATAGAAATCCATGAATACTTTCCCTTTACTTTAAAGATTGCTATACATACAGAAGTCAATTTAATTTATAGAGGATTTATCCATTTGCTATTATGCTTGGTGTTAGTGATGTCACTTTTAAGAGGTTTAAAGCTGATTTATCTACTGCACCAACAACAATCCAAGTTGATGCTGCCCTCCGTGCTATGTACTAGGTGTATGAATGAAAGATGCTAATTTTGTATCAAATGGATGTCAAATTGATTTAGAGAAGGATAAGCCCTTTCCAGTATGAATTGGAACATTTGGAAAATCTGATTTTATCATATATTTGCTCCTGTTGTATGAACAGCATTGGTTCTAGATTGTTTTTGGAAGAAGAAGTCTTTGTGTTGTTTGTCCTTTTTAAAAAAATATTTAAAAAAAATATTTTTATTAACCTCTTATTTAATTTTGGATTTCGGACTTTTAAAATTATTATTTAGCATATGACATATCATACATGGATTAGCAATATAGATAAACATTTCAACTAGATTAGCAGAACCCAATAAAATTTAAGTGTTAAAAAGAGGCCTACATTCTGTTGTTTTGTGGTTAATTTTTAAATCTAGTTGCTCCCATTTTTTTCTGGAAATGGGATTTATTTTCCAATGAGGTTTTGTAGATAACTTGTATATAAATGCCAGTCATAAAAATGTCTGTAACTAATGGGCAAAATCTGAGAGGAGTAAATACAGGGATTATATAGTTGAATGGAAAACATTTTGAGGCTTTGCTTTTGTTTTCTATTCCATTTATACCAATAAGTAAGTTAATAGGAATTTTTTTTTAACCCCAGATATAAATATTTCCTGTATTTGAGGCTTATATTTGCAAAATATCTGAGGCTATATCTGAGGTTTATATTTGCAAAAATGCAAAACTGTCAGTCTCAAAAATGCTCTTATCCTTATCCTTATCCCTATTCTTATTTCTTATTTGATTATTTTATTTAATTATTAAATTTATATGCCACCCATCTCACTGTTATAGAGACTCTGGGTGGCTTACAACATGAATAGAATTGTTAGATTGATTATTTGGGATTTTCTAAAATCAGTCAATTCCTGCCAAACAATTTCCTTGCTGTATTCTATTATATTTCTTGACTGATATGTCCAACATATTAAGCAATAAGTGCAAATGCCCTTTGCAACTAAGATGTTTTTCAGATATTCTCATCAGTTCTTTGTAAAACTATAGTTCTCAGAATTTGTTGGGAAAACTCAGTCATTGCTATACAAAATAGCTACAATGCATCTACAATCAGTTTCATGTTTTTCATCAAAAATAAAGGACGAATAATGAATATATTACCTTTCCATTTTCCTTTCTACAGCAAATTTATAAAACAACCTAAGGATTAATGCTATCAAGTTAGCATCAAGGTTTAAGTGGAGAATAGCTAAGTATTTTAATATCTTTGTGATGTACCTAATATTTTTGCTCCATGGTTTAATGCACTGCATTTATTAAATTTCATTTTCGGCAGAGGCCATGAATACCAACCCATGCATATTACACTTTTGCTACATACCAGTAGGTATCTATTCTATCTTCCATTCAAATAATTCCTACAAAGAGAATTCTCTAAAAGGATTTTTTGTTGTTGTTGTTAAAAGTAACATCTGGTTATTTCTAGACAGTTAATATTATGCCTTCCAATCTGCAAACACAGACTTCTAAAACTTTTTATAAAGAAGAATCTTATAGAATTTAGAAATGAATAATTTGAAGTGTTACCTCTAAGATACCACGCTGGATAGAAAGCTGAATAACAAAGTTGCCCATTGTTGTTGGCTTCTGTTCAATATAGAGAAGGAGGCCGTGGAAGCCAAAGGTCTGGAATTGTAAATTGATGCTATTGTGCTGACGCAAAGTAATCCCTCTAAATTCCATATAAGAATTCCCCTGGTACTGAATATAGCTAAAATCTATAAGAAAAATATATATATATATATATGAAAGAATGCATACCAATTGATTACATATCAAAGGCTTATTGTTTGGATACAGAAAAGCGATGACATTCATTCACTAATGTAGCGGTGCTTCTTAACCATTGTTCAGATAAAGGAAAAGAGGAAAGCATCCAAGTGCAACAATGTCTATTTATTGAGCACTACATGATTTGAATATAAATCTGACTACGGAACAGTCTTGTAAAGAAAATGTCTGTTCATTTGTGAGAGTATTCCTTTTGCATGGATTTATTTCTGAACTATATATGGTATATATTAATCTCTATTGCAAAAGGAATCTGAGAGAGTGAGGCACAGAATTCAGATCAACAATTAAATGTCTATGGAGATTCTCCGTCATCTGGGTCATGGTTGTCCCAAAGGTGTTTTTTCAACAGAGAACTGGACTTCTTGATTTTTCTTTGAAGACGTTCCGCTTCTCATCCAAAAGCTTCTTCAGCTCTGAGCTCAGAGCTGAAGAAGCTTCTTGGATGAGAAGCAAAAGAAAAACCAGAAAGTCCAGTTGCCTCTTGAAAAAGCACTTTTGGGATGATCAACAATTAATTAATTTACTGACATGTGAAGATGATTCAGCTGAGCTTTATTTGGACAGAACACATCCCTGCTTCTTGTAACCAAATAATGGATCCAAAGTATTAATTCTTTTATGTTATGAGTTGCATTCCCTGGGAAGTCTCTCCCACCAATGTAAAAAGGGAGGGAAGTCCCTCCCTCTATTGTAAAGTGGGAGGGACTAGAGCAAATTTGTGGCTAAAAGTGAGGAGTGGCATTTAATTTTGTTGTTGAATAGCCCTTCTCTTTCCGATTTGTCTTCCTCTTCCTCCTTCCTTCTCTCCCTTTTGACATCTTCTCTATCTTAACCTGCCAAAAAATGGAGATGTCCTTGGACAGGCTTTTGAAATTAGGATGATAATGACATAAAATCTGGCAAGGACCATCACAGGTTGTCAACTTAACCCTCAAGTCTGTTTGTAATAGGTAGCAAGGTATCTGACGTCTTCTAGAAGTTATTTGAAAGTTAACATGAATAGTTTCAATTTTTTTAAAAAAGGAAAGCAAGATGTCTTACGTTATTGTTCTAACTTTTCTGGGTTTCAGTATATCACATGAAACATTTTTTTTTCTTTTAATGTTTGTGTGAATAAATGTAAAAAAAAAAAAATCCCCCTTGACTTGAATTTAGCTATTTCCTCAGTAAGCAATGTTGACATTTGGCTGTCTTTTGAAAGTCACAAGGCTTATTTTTAACCATCCCAGGTAGATTTAAACAAAAGTTCTGGGGTTAGTAAAGGAATACAAATAGAATCCTGTACCCTGTTAATGGGCTGGCAGGACAGAATAGTGCCTTGGTTCTTTCTGTTACCTTCCATTGGTAGAAAGAAACAATATCAAACCAGAATGCCTCCTACATGCTAGAAGCTTCTATTGGATAAGCAGAAAGTTGCTTTCGACAGATAGAAATCCTGAAGGAGGTTGTCCCAGGGGCAGAGTGATGTGACATGAACTTGAATCACCATAAACTTAGAATGATCAAAAATAGAAGTCTGAACTTTTCATCTGAAAAACACTTTCTTAGAAGCAGTAAATTATTCCATGAGTGAAACATATGTCTAGAGATTTCGTTTCATATACCCGTTGCATTTTCACTTATGGATTCATTTGTTTGCTTTTAATCTAAATGCAAAAGAGATATATTGCAAAACCATCTAAAGATGCAAGAGTTTGTTGTCTGATAGAATTCTTCACTAAGTTTGATATTAGAAAATGAAAATAATAAATATTATTTGTGCTTGCTGTATATTGAAATAAATGGTGGAGAAAGTCTTATTTTTTAAAAGCTGTTGCTGTTTCTTCTAACTCTACTCCAATTAAGAACTATAGCTCAACATATTATTGTCTTGGCACTCAATTATTCCCTGTGTTTTGCACAGCAGATCACCTTTGCTTCTGTTATAGGGATTTGGGAAATTCATACATAAAAGAGTTGGCTCATAAATAAAGCCATATATTTCTTATTTCATAAATAATGCTTTAAAAAAAAACTTAAATACTATATACGTGACATATCTATGTTGTTTGAGATGGCATATTACTGAGAATATTACCCAGCAAACATATAGTATTAAATATGATCTTTAATTGTTTCACGTATCCAGGAATAGCAGGATGGGTAGATGAGTTTTGTACTTTTACATATTTGAAGGAGGGACTTGTCTGAGTCCCACACTACTATGTCATGATGAGTGTCTATCACGTCTGTAATTCCTTCTTCTAAAAGTTTTAAAGCCCTCTGTAGCAACCAATCCATCTCTAAATTCTTTGCATGAGCTGTTCACCTTAGGAGTTTTCATACCTTTTTCATGGCAATTTCAGCTGGCAGCACGGAAAATAAATCTCTTTAGAAGAAAGCAGTTGCTAAAGGGAGATTCATGGAAACAAAACGTGCATAGTAGCCCACTAGCTCATACAATATTGATTTATGTCAAGAAAAAAGTACATGCAGATAATCTTAGAAGACTTTTCTCAGAGTCTACTGGTTTCTATAATATTTCTAACATCGCTTATGATCACTAGTATGATACTCATAAACATCTCTTATTTCATCAATCTTTATCTTTGCCCTAAATTTCAAGTGGAGGTAAGAATAAAATTCTCTATGCCTTTGATTTCTGTATAGAATCTGTCCCATAATTTTAATATAAATTTAGGATAACCTATATGTGCAACACATAACACAATCATCTTCTGCAAAGAAGCTGAAGAAACAAGGGTTCCTCTAAATTAGCTGAACACACAGACTGACCACAAACAATAGAACGACAAAGTAAGAACAATGATGCTCTAGGTCAGGGGTCCTCAAACTTTTTAAACAGGGGGCCAATTCACAGTCCCTCAGACTGTTGGGGGGCTGGACGAGCTGGGTGGGTATGGCTAGGTGGTCAAGTGACTGGGTGACATGACCAATTTAGCAGTCCATTTTGCCAATTTAGCAGTCTATTAAACAATACACACAAATTAAACTTTCATTTGTTTTGCTCCTGAGGGTGTTTTATTTGCTTTTGTTTGCATGTTGCTCTTTTGGTTGGCTTTTCTTTTTACTAGATCATTTTTTTAAGTTTTAGTGGTTCCACTTCAGGGTACTCAATTTTGCAGCAATTCTTCTCAGCACCAAGGAGTTTACAACCAACAAGTCTCTCTCTCTCTCTCCCTCTCTCTCCTTCCCTCCCCCCCACTCTCTGTATCTCTCTCTCTTTCCATATCTTTTTCCATATCTCTTTCCACCTCTCTCTCTCTCCCCCTCTCCCTCTCTCTCCATTCATTCCTATTTCTATTCCATTCCATGCCCTTCCTGCCTCCCTCTCCAGGAGTAGAGACAGCCGTCCTAATTCAGGGGCAGGCAGCCTCACCGTCCGCCACCGGGACTGATATCTATGTGTGGTAGCTAAATTTCACAAAGGAAATACAGTAGATTTAAGCAGGCGGAGAACCGGTCCGTCAAAAAAAAAAAAAAAAAGCCACCACCTGCGGAAGGAGCCGCCATGGGCAGTGGAGCTGGGCTCACCTCTGGACGTCCCAGTGCAAGTAACACCCCTTCGCTGACACCGCATGATGCTTTGTGGAGGCAGCTTTGCTCAAACTGGGGTGGGGGGGGTGTTTCAGCTGTCACAAACATCTCCAGATGTTTCTTCATGGGTCAAGGAGGAATTTTTGCTTGCTCGGAAGGTCAATTTTCTCTGGCAACAGTAAGGCAATTTAAGTTTGGGAGAGATTTCGGGCTTGGAATGAGAATCAATCAGGAATTAGGTGAATCTCACTCCTTTCTGTAGATCTGTGCCTTTGGCTTCATCCCTAATTCTTTCATAGTCCTGAAAATTCTGAGAGTTGGAGCCCATAGGTCGTAAAGGGGTCATAGGTACTCGACCCTGACTTTAAAAAAAGTGCAGGGAGCCCCGGTTTCTACTTGTCCCACACAGGAGATCAGGAAGTGCAAAAAACCGAAAGCCCCAGAACAGAACGGTGTCTGCGCGCTGACATTTTCTCTGCACAGCACAGCCTTTTTTCTTCTATTTTTGCTCCAGGTTCATCACTCTCTGGGCAGCCCTATCTGGGGAACTGCCAGCCTGTCCACAGGAGCTATGAAGCAGTGCAGGAGAGAAGCGGAAATGGGGGCTGATTGATTCTCATTCCAAGCCCGAAATCTCTCTCAAACTCAAATTGTCTTACCATTGCCAGAGAAAATTGACCTTCTGAGCAAGCAAAGATCCCCCCTTGATCCATGAAGAAACAGTCAGGAGATGTTTGTGTCAGCTGGCCCCCCCACACACACACCGTTTGAGCAAAGCTGCCTCGACAAAGCATCACGTGGTGTAATTGCGCAGCCTCTCCCACAGGGACCCTTCAATTCCCCCCTCCCAGTGGAGTGACCATGGACTGAAGTCCCTGGCAAATCTTTGAGTTCTTTCCTCAGCTGGCAAAAGGTCCACTGGCCCATTTTTGGCCTCCCCCTCCCCCTACAGAGTGCCTGTAGAAGCACTCTGCTGCCCTCGCAAATGTAAGTCCTACACTTGGCCAAAGGGTGGGGGCTGGCAGATGGGTGTGGTGATGAGGGCAGGGCAGCCACGAGGTCCCACATGGACCAGATTAATGGCTTTGGCGGGCTGTATCCATCCTGCAGGCCGTACTTTGAGGATGCCTGCTTTAGGTTATCTGCAAGAAGTACCATTTGCCTTCAAGCAAGGACCGGGGACCGCAAGAGAGACAAAGTAATAGAAAATGAAGAAGCTAATGTGTTCAAGGACTTTAGATTTGTGACAGATACCTGCCACAAAACACTCCAGATTTAATATTTGTCAATAAGAAAATAAAAAAAAAAAACCTGGATAGTAGACATTCAATATCTGGATACAGCAGAAGAGAAGTGTTGTGACTCTGAACCCCGAGCCCATCTTATC